AGTGCCAGCACCCTCTGGGGGAAGAACCTTTCCTGAGATCCACATAAACTTCCCTGACACAGCTCCAATAAGACCAGCTGAGGAAAAGGAAAGGAAGAGCTGAGCACTGTGAAACTTGTCCAGGGCACTGCCTGGGAGCTGTGTCAGGGCATAGAGCTCACACCATTTTACCCAGCTAGGATTAATCCCTACAGATTAATATTTAACCTTGCCAATAAACCCACTGTGGGGGTGCTTTCTAGGCCAGTCAGACAGAAGGATGGCATTGCATGGGGATGAAGGCAATGTGACTACAGCTGGAAAGGCTGTGTGCCCTGCAGGGCTGCAGTGGAACCAAGCAGGGGATACCTGGCACAACCGACTGGCAGCAGAGGTGCCGTGGAGTCCCAGCGGTGCTGACCCATCCCAACCCTTTTCCTTTTGCCACTGGCCTCAGGTTCAGTCCCTTCAGGCCCTCCTCGCTCCTGCTCCCTGCCCAGCCCTCGCTCCCCCTTTCTTGGCCGGGTGTTTGCCGGCACAGGTGCACTCTGGTCCCCCCTACCACTGCCCTTTTTTTAATTAGACGATAAAGAAAGCGTCCTTTTGAAGCAGGTAAGGGATTCCTCGCATCCCTGGCATTGCTGGGCTGCCTGACTGTAACCCTATTCCAGTTAAAAGCTTTCTGTGCCCGTCCACGGCCCCACACCTGCAGTCAGATGCTCGCGAGCTGCCCTCTCGGCCACTGGTGCAATTACCCAACGTGATGATTAACTGAGGCAGCACGGCAGGGACCGGGACTGCCCCTGCCAGCTGCCACTGCCTTCACCCGTGCTGGGGCAGGGGGTCCCCCGCTCTGGGCTGCCTCTGGAGGGAACTGCTGATGATGGGTGCTGGGGGGACCTGGGACTCAGAGAAACTGTCCCCTACCCATCTCAGGAACTGCTTTCTGTGGGCACAGGGATGTTTGACACAGAGCCCGAAACTGGGCTGGCATCTCTGCTCTTCCCCGCCTGGTGACACTAGCGGAGAGAACACAAGCAATGGGGCTTGGAGTCCTCTTCTGGGCAGGGTCTCTGCTGCCTGGCTCGGGCAGCCGGGAGTCCTCAGGGGGATGGAGCGGATCCTCCTGTACCCAGCCATTGCTAATGCCCGTTTTCCCTGCAGCCCCTGAACGCTCGAGGCGCGTCCCTCCCGGTGTCCCCTCCCTGTGTGTCCCCACCGAGCCCGGCCGGCCCCGGCGAGCCGGGACAGCCCCGGCCCGTGCCCGTGTGCTCTGCAGCGGATAGATAACCCAGGCCGGAGATAGATAACCCCTCAAATCCTTTAAACCCTCCCGAGGTTTGCAGCCACCCGCAGTGCCCGGCCTGTCCCAGGCCCGGGGCAGCCCAGTGCCGCGCACCGCAGCGGGGACGGCATTCACATCCCGCTGTAAATCAATTGCTGCGCCCTGGCAGCTCTATTTCCACGCTCCCATGTTATTTTTTCACTCAATCATGGGGAGAATGACTCTGTTTTCCTTCGGCAGTTTTGCTTCTTTTTCCTCCTTTCTTGCTTCCTTTCTTTCTCAGGGCGAAGGATGGGGTCAGAGCGAATATTCATTTCCACGGTTCCAGCTCATTGAGAACAATAAGGGCAGTAAACAGAGGGCAGCATTGCTCAGGAATGTGAAGCATTTGCCTGTGGTTTAAAATTACTAATTTTTTTACAGGCGAGATTTTTTTTTTTTTTTTGAGACCTTTAAGAACAGGCCAAATTCTGCTTCCCCACATCGCCCTGTCCCCAGGATCTCCCAGATCTTCCCCCTCACCGGGTTTGTTGCAAGTTGTCACTAAGTGTGAGAGGTGGTGGAAAGCTGTGTGAGCCGGGGGGCCTGGGGCAGCCTGGCCTGGAGCAGGAGTGCAGGGAAGAGACACAAAGTCACCATCTGGAGCTGCAGAACTCCCACCTGGTACCTGGGGATTTTGGGAATGGACACCAAGCAGAAGTTCTGCTGCCTGTGCAGAAATGAAAATGAAATGTGTCTGGGGAGAGGAGGCCACCCTGGGCATCACTGGCTGTGGCTGGGCTGTGGGCAGGGGACATTGCAGGACACGCCTGCCCTTGCCAGGGGCTGCACAGCAAAGCCAGGCTGTGCCCACACGGGCATCTCGTGCTGCTCTCAGGGTTGCTGTGCCCATCAGGAGCGAGGGCGGGGGACAGCAGGGCCACCAGAGGCTGGGAGGGAGCGGGGGTGCCCCGAGGTGCCCCAGGACAGCCACAGTCACTGCTCCTCTGCCTGGTACCCAGCACTTTCCCAGCCAGCTGGGACAATTCCTACCTGCGGCAGAGGCAGGTGCTGAGCAGCATTGTGCTCCATCACTGCCCCAGCCCAGAGCTGCTCCCCACCATTCCCAGTGTCGTCCCGTCCCTTTTCCCTCACCACCACACAGCCCTACAGCTGCTCCTCTTGCAACAGGAGCTGTTCTGGGAAGAACAAAGGGAAGGGATGTCTCCACAGCCTCAGGGGGTTCATTGCACCTGAGAGGACCCAGTTGCTTCTCAGCTGCCCAGAGCCACAGCTGGCACCCTGAGCCGTGGGACTTGGCCTGGGGGCACCTGCAGTTCGTGATGCGAAGGCACATGTGCTCCTGCTCAGCTGTACCAGTCTGCACCAGTCTCAGTCAATTCCTCCCCTCAGAGGGGGCAGAAGGACCAGGAGAGTCAGCTGAGGACATTTGGGCTCACAGCTTCACTTCCGAATGCAACCGAGGAGGGAAACGTTTTATTGAGAGCAATTGCTTTCATAGCCTGGCCCCAGCAGACACCCGAGCATCCTGTGTCAGGCTGATTAGCTCCAGATCCACACACGCTGGGTGTGAGGGGATAGCTGCCTCCCACTCCCTGCTCCCGCAGCCGCCCAGCCCCGGAGCTGCCCCCTCCCAGCCTTCCACCCCACATTCCCAAAGACATTCAGGCTCCACTCACAGGGAGCAGCTGCGGTTCCCCCCATCTGGATCCTCTTTGCAGATCCAGCTCCCAAACATTTTGCTGCTCACCCAGAGGCTGAATGGAAACATTTGGGTCCTTTCTCTTTGCTTGCCTTTTCCTCTTTGTGGCCACAAAACCCCCTCTGTGCCTTGTGCTGTGGCATCAGGGCTCACCCTGGGCTTCTCTACCCTGTGGGACTTCAGGCAAAGACCACTGCAGATCCTAAACTGGACCCCACAGCAGGATCAGCCCAGGCTAAGGGACGGATATGGAGTCCCCTGGCTGATGCAGTTTGCTTCCACAGACCTTTTACAAGAGCTGAGCAACTTGAAGAGTCAGAAAGCATGAAGGATTATAGCAAAAAGTCCATAAATCAAGTATAAAGACATGGACATAAAGCTGGGAAGACATTTGCCTTTTATTGTCTCCTTGGACAGACTTAGCGTTTAAAGGCTTTTATCTCCTTCTTGTGGCTTTTCAGTTGGGCTCCAAGCCAATAGGTACCTCTTGTCCTTATTCTGCATTAAATTACACCACGGGGACAGGAGCCTGGGGAGCAGAGTGCCTGGATGATGCATCCAGTGCATCCGTGCCTGCTGCCAGCAAGACTCATCTTGCCTGGGCTCTCCTCCCAGTGGCTGTGGCAGTTCTCCTGCCCTGACAGCCTTAGCCTGTTGTCCAGCCTCAGCTGGTGGGAGGAACTGCTCTATCCACAACTCGGGTGATGCATTGGAACCAGCCAAAAGGCCTGCAACCTGTCAGGAATTAGTTTGGTTCAGACCCATGCCCACTAAAAGCCTCGACCGCAGTGCTCAGATGATGGAGAGAAGTCCCAAAACCTCAAGGCTTTGTGCAAACAGCTGGGGAAATCCCATCTTTCTTCCTAACAGACAGTGCATCCTTCCTGCTCCCACTGCCAACAACACCCCAACCTGCAGTGAGCAGAGGCACCCAGCTGATGGGCTGGGAGCCCCAGACACCCCCAGGCCTCCTAACCACGGTATGGTCAGGAGAGGGCAAGCTGCCAGGGCGAAGGAGTGGACTTCTTGCAGGAGAATCCCAGGGAAAACGCTGCCTTGGCCAAAACACCCCCAGCAGCCAGGAGTCAGCAGCTCATGGTGAGCTCGCAGCAGAGGGAGGGCTGTGCTGGAGAGGGTGCCCAGCCTCCCCAGCCTGGCAAGCAGACCCTCAGCAGGGCGACTGGCCCGGCTGCGGTGACCCACAGCTTCAGGACAGGCTGTTCGTGCTACAGAGCTGGGTTTGCTCAATAACAGGCTTTGAATTGAATGTGCTTTTAGCATGGTTCCCTGCTGACACCAGACACTGGCTGCGTGATGAAAGACCTCTGCTCCCCCAGGCCAGCACCCCATGACTTCCTTCTCCAGACCTTCCCCTGGAAAAGTTACTGTCTCCCACAGAAGTTCCTGGGGAGTATCAGGGCACAGGAAGAGTGAGGGTGGCCATTGGACCCCCATCTCACCCATCCCTGCAAGAGCTCTCCCAAAACAGGGTCATGGTCCCCAGAGGATCCCAGCACTATGGATGTGGTCATGAGTGGGATGTGTAGCCAGGAGTCCCCGTGCCAGGAGTAGGGCTGGGGGTGTTTGGTGGGATGTCTGCTTCTGCATCCCCTATGGCCAGGCAGGGTGGGGCACGGACAGGGACCTCTGCATCTGCTGGCAGCTGCTCCCCCAAGAGCCAGACGAGCCTGCACCCTGCCACCCTCTGCTCCCCCAGCTCTCCATCACCTGGGGTCTCTCCCATCACACCTGAGAGCCCTGAGAATGGGTTCTCAATGGACCAAGCCTTCTTCTGCAGAACTCACATCTCCCAAGGGCCAAAGGGACAAAACGTGATCAGCACCTCGGTCCCTACTGTGTTCAGCCTCCCTTCCCAGTCCCAGGCTTGGAAGTAACTGGGCACTCTGGTTTTCCCCCACCATGGGTTTGAAACCTCTGCTGAAACCCAAAAGGTGCTGGGACTGCAAGATATTCATTAGACGCCCAAGCAGGATTTTTTCTTCCCAAATCTTGTCCTGTGCTTGTAGCAGCAGATCACACATGGGCAGGGGTGTAGGGACTGAGGCACGGCTCCGGGCAGTAGGTCAGGAGGGGGACTCCCAGCTGAACTCCCAGTGCCCCCAGAGCAAGGACTACAAGGTCAAACGGAAGAACAAGCCTCAGCACTCTGTTCAAATCAAACATCTGGCTGGACATCAGCTAGAAGGACAGCCCTGGGCTGGCAAGGAGATGCTGCGCTGGGGACACAGAGAGAGGAGCACAAAGAAAGGACATGGCACGCAAATGGTTAAAGGTGTCCTTCCCACCCAGCCTATGCTGTGTGCCAATACTCCCAGCCATGTGTTTGAAATCCTTTCTGCTATCTCCTGAAAATATTTACAGTACACGCAGATAAATTAGCTGTAGCGCTTATTACGTCTCCCTGGAAATATATACAGCAGTTAAAGATGTTTAAAAAAAATAGTCAAAAGCCGTCTCTTTACTATATCTGGAAGATATTTCACAGTGCAGGGAATTTACAGGGCTGGGTGGTGGGGAAAGCGCATTTATTTTCACTCGAGTAGAGAAAGTTAAAGGACCCTTCACTTGAGTTTATTTTGATCTCTGCTTGTGAGACAAGGAGCAAGGCTGGCTGGGGAGCGAGTCAGCGCAGCGAGGCGGGGGCGCGGGGCGGCTTGGGGCAGAGTGGGGATGGAGACCAGGAGCCTGGTGGCACCACGAGCTGACACGCGCGGATACGGACCAGCTGCTGCAGGGCACGCTGCCTGCCAGAGCTGCAGCTGTGCCTCCAGAGAGAGCAGGTGACACACAGGCTGGGGACACCAGCACCGGGGACCCATGGAGGTTCAGAGGACAGGACACCTCTGCTGGTCCAGGCTGCCTGGCCCAGGGTGGAAGACTCCCCTCTGACCAGGGGGACCTCAGCCGCTCTCACTCCTCAAAGACCTTCTTCCACAAACACGTGCCTGTCCCCTTGCCCCAAACAGATGTTTCTGAGGGCACCAAAATTGTCCAGAGCCCGCACAGTGCCATCACAGAACAATGTCCTACCTGCACACATCTCCTCTGCTAAACCAGCCTGAGAAGCTGCTCCCATTCCCAGTGCCCGCCCAAGTCAAGCAGCTCTGCCAGGACAGGGTGATGGGACATCATCACACCACTGGTTGCTTTGTGAGTTCTTGTCTGAAGCAGGAAAGTGATAACTGGAATCATCTCTGTGCACAACTTTCTTAATAACTTCCAGGTGAAAGATAAGGTGGTCCTTAAACCCACAGCAGAGGCACAAGTGGTCACACTCGCCCCATCTTCAGACCTCAAAGCTGACCGTCTTCAAATGTCCTTTTCAGAAACTCCCAGATCGTCACACTGGAGTGAAAGAGCTATGGTAGAACATCACTCTTCTGTCAGCTCTTGTAGCTGATGTTGTCGTTTCTAGTGAAAGCTCATTGATGGAATCCTTCTCCTCCTGTCTTTTCTGGCTTCTCCCTTGGCTGAGGTTTCTCATGGTGAAGACACCTGCCAGCTCAGAGTCAAAGACCAAGGTCCTCAAATGCACTGGTTGACTCACGGTCGCTGACCCAACATGAGATGACAATGTCTTCTGGGCCACTGGCACTGAGATCTGGAATCAAGCTGTTGTCCCTGACGTAAAAGTCTTTGAGAAGCCATTTGCTAATTCCCCTGAGTCACCCGCTCCCTCTGGCTGTTTTGAAATTCATATCTAATGAGTGGTTTTGGTGAAGGAATTCTGCAAAGATGCAAACAATTCCTTTGCCAAAATAAATGGAGCCAGAGCTGGGCTTATAAACATATAAATCATTTCTAGTTTTTAGCTTGCAAACAATATACTTGTTTCTTGGTGCAGATTTGGGGGAGAGCAGGAGGAACAGGGTGGGGAGGAAGCCAGCTGAAGTTCCCCCCGCAAAGGCAGCCCAGGCCTTCCTCAGGGCACAGCATGGGACACCAGCCACCATCCAGAAAGCCTCCAGGAGAAAGGAGCTCCAGAAAGTCCTTCAGAAAGCCTCCAGGAGGGAAGAAAATTGGGCTTTTGACCAGCTTTTTTGGTTATTCACTCCTCAAACAATCATCTGCAGCAAATTAACTCAACCAATCCTTAATTTGCTCTCCAAGTGAGGGATGACATGTCCTGGGCCAGGCAGGGAGGAGAAACATCCTTGGGGCTGCAGAACATTGCACAGGGGACAGTGTGACCGCACTGCACAGGGCTGGCTAAACGTGCCTTTTCTTCTCTGCTTCACACAGGATTGCTACAGGACAGGAGAAAAATTGTGTAAATCACCAAAACCAGTCAGGCAGAGCAAGGCCCTGCATGGCCTGCAGTAGATGGAGCTCACTGGGCTGCAGCTCCCTCTGCCATTCCTCTGACCCCCATGACACTGGTGGGGACACAGGAGCCCTTGGCTTTGGCACCCACTTGCCCAGGGGCTGGGTGGTGGCAAACCTATGCCCAGTGAGGGGAGCTGCTCCTACAGAAGAGGTTTGCACCGAGCTCATGCTAACCACATTTTTTCCCAAATAAAGTGTTCTAGCGTGGTCAAATTTGAGCATATTCCAGGAACACAAGATGAAGCTCAGCCTCTCTTCCCTCTCTACTTGCCAAATTGCTTCAAAGACAGAATTTTAAAATGAGAACAAATCCCTTATTTTTTCCCTTTTCCCCATTCTTGGAAAGAGCCATGGTCTTCAGCTGAAATTTTCCCCAAAAATTTAACTGGAGGCTGCAATCCATCCTGCACAAAATTGCCACGCAGCCTGGGATGGTTTGGCAAAGCTGGTAGCAGCTGCAGGCAGGGTTTTTCAGCAGGAAGAGCCACGGCCACCTCCAGTGCCCACCCTGGGCACACGGGGAGCACAGCCCTGACATTGCCAGGACACCCCGAGGATGTGCCTCCCTCTGGCAGGGGCTCCTTCCCCTGTGCTTTTCCCAGGCCTGCAGAAGGCAGGCAGATATCCAAAGCCGTTCCTCACTTTCACAGCAGATAAGCTAATTGTCGGATGTGCCCTTTGAGATAAGCAGAGCCAGGGTTTATGAGGGAACATGTGTTCTTAGGAAAGCTGTCACCCAGCTGCAGTGCAGGTGATAACCCAAGGTCGAGCAGGCTCTCTCCTCAGGGAATCATGGTGTTCTTCAGCCAAGGGGGCTCAGGGGCAGTTGCCTTGGGCCACAATGATGTGGTTTTTGGGGGCTCCTCTCCTGCTTCCCTACTTCATTATTGCTGAGCAGGGAAACTCTGCAGTGCAGAGCACTACCAAGTCCTTGTAGAGAGAGACCCTGTTCTTCAGATGCTTTGCAATTCAGCCAAAAGTTTAATGTTATTGAATACCACCAAAAAAAATCACAGTGAGGTTGTGCCAGGCTGTTGGTGATGGGGAGGATACCCTGGCAGCACTGGTGAGTGCTGAGCCCCTGCCTGAAGCATGAATGGGAGCAGGAGGGTATCTCCCCCCAGTCCCTGGATACTCAGTACTCACATGGCTCCATCACTGTGGCACTGGTGTGGCACTGGTCAGCACTGGGGGAAGCCAAGGCACGGAAACTGAGTCTCAGTCCTGAAAGAGCTGAGCAAGAGGAAGCTGTGGGTGACCCTGCAGACTCTTCTCTAGCCAAAACCCTCCAGAGGGGGCTGCCACCCACACAGCCTCCAGACCACGTCAGGGGCCAGATTTCCAAAATTTCACAGAAATATTGAGAGCAGGGATCCCTTAGAGGCCCTTTCAGCCTGCCCTGACTGCCACCAGCCTGTTTGGGAGCAGCCAGGTCCTCAGCTCTCCACTGGGGATGGCAGAAGCTGCCGTGGCACAGCAAGGTTCACCCCCATGTGAGCCACGTGCCTGCAATGCTGTGGTGGCAGCCTATGGCAGACTTATACCAAAATCTCTCCCACAGTCTTCCCTGTCATGGGGAGAGAGCTGCCATGCTCCTCCAGGGCCACAGCCACATTCCAGGTGTGCAAGGCACAAGGGAGTTGTGGGCCAGCATGTCCCCAGTGCCAGAAGGTGCTAGGAGGGTGTGTGAGGAGAGCTGCTTGTCTGCCCCTTGGGGAGACTGACCCACGGCCTGGTCCTGCCTGCTCGGACAGCAGCCCTGCTGCCCTGACCAGGACCTCCCAGCCTGACTGTGGGCTGGGAAGGATCCAACCAGCCTGTCCCAGCGCTGGGAATGTTCTGTCCCATCAGGCTCCCAGCACTGGGGATGGTCCATCCAGAGCAGCACCCAGCACTGGGGATGCTCAGCTCAGCCCAGCCCTGATCACTGAGGATGCTCAGCCCACTCTGGCTCCCAGCACTGGGGATGTTCCATCCAGCCCAGCTCCCAGTGCCGCCAGCCCCAGGTGCACCTGCAGCACTGACAGCCAAGCCCCCACCTGTGATCGCACCGTGCCCCACCCGGGGCTGCGGCCAGGCCACGCTCCCTCCCCCCCGCGGCTGAGCCACCCTCGCTCCCCGTCCCTTCCCACCCTGCCTCGAGCAGCCATCACTCACCAGGCTTTGATTACGGCCACAAAGGAGCCTTGGAGGAGCCACGGGAAGCTGGAGGGAGGCAGGCAGATGATGAAAGAGCTGTCAAATGGGATTAAACAGTAACCGTCTCCTCCACTGCTGGGCAGCAGGAAGGGGGACAGATTGTACCGGATTGTAATGCAGGAGCCCTCCCGCTGGCGGAGC